TTCCTTAAGTATTTATATTATCTTAAAACTAATCTAAAGATAATAAAATAAAATAATATCAAAAAATAGCAATTACATAAGTCGTGATACGATTGGTCGTCGATTTAAAGGAATCATAATCGAAGAAGGTTGTCGTGACAATGGGAAGACGAGCCTTGAAAACGAGGCTTGCTGCTGGGCATGGGAACCAGCGGCTGCTGGGTATCCATCAGGCCAAACAGAAGCTGCCCGTGGTCTGGGAGTGCTGAGCTGCGGGCGCTGGCCGTAACTGATTCGCAGTGTCGTCTTTCAGGGGATATACCTTGAGTTTTAGGAAGTTTATAGGGGCGTGTGACCCACCGTTGGAAAACCCTTCAAGTTTAGTTTCCAATGCAATTTGAATCTCTTCAATCCAATCTGTAGAACCCAAGTTATGATCAAAAGAGTGAGCAAAGGTCATTTGTGATACTTTGTAAACCATCGTTTTAACTCAAATTCATCTTCGAAAGGTGCGTATCGACCCTCCTGGAAGCTATTTTTATTTTATAGGCTTATAAATCTCGACCTAAGCTTCCACAAACATATATCATTCATTGAGCGACCTTGATTAATCGACATGTCTTCCTTTCGTTGTCCCATTCGTCCAAAACCACCCCGAAAACGTCCAAATAATTATGGAAACTACCTGAAACATTAATAAAACACAAATGAAACTTAATAGAGCACAAAATGGACAACTTATGCATTTATGATCCTAAAAAGCGACAAAAAAACCTAAAAAGAAACTATAAAACTAGCATAAATGTGCCTATAAATCATATATAAATGTGATTTATCATGTTGCTTGATTATTCATGATTTATTGTTATTGTTTGATCACATTCCTTTTTGCAAGGTTAAAGGGAATTTGTACTTGAAATCACGCCTAATAAGATAATTAATAATTAGATTTAGGTTTAATATGATTAAAATTCAAGTGATCACTAATATTAGATTTAATTGTGCATCAATAATCAACCAACGTAGACTAAACAGGTCTAGGATTAATTTGATGTATGTATGTTGATCCAAAAGCGCACATGAATATCAAAATAATTAAGTAAAGGCCTATTTATGGCGGGTTTAACCTCTTTAGGTTGGATTCGTACCTTCATCCCCCAACGTCTAGTCATGGTTCCGGACCACTATGGAGTTAGCAATCTCTATGATTGTGAATAGGGTGTGACCTTCATAATCATGAATGGTTTACAAGTTTCTAAAACTTGTTGGCGACTCTTTTTCTCTAGCTTCTTTTCCTTGGAGCGCCGCCATGTTTAAAAACATGACCCACATGTAGAATTCCCTTTAGTAGTCGTTATTCTTTTTTATTCAAAATTCATGAAAAGAGCAAGAAATTAAACAATATTCCCCTTGACTTAGGTGATAAAACAACAATTATTGATTATTCAAATTCTAATATTTAATTAAGCAAGATAATATGTGAAATATATTAATTAAAAGTTGTTTAAGTGATCAAACAACACTAATTAATCCATTAAAGTGATTTAGGGAAAGAAAATTAAAGTGATTTATCTAAGTGCTCGGAAATTACCATTTTCCCTTGCTAGATCTTCGTTTGGAATGCAAATGGACTCCTTCTTGTTCGGGAACCTCACCCGCGAGGACAAAGTATCAAACAGGGGGTGAGTGTTTAGGACAAGAAAGGTTGTGTAGGGAATTTTAACTCACTCTACTGTGGGTCATGTTTTTAGGCATGTTGACGATATTAGGAAAGAAACTAGAGAAAGAGAGTCGCCAACAAGTTTTAGGAACTTGTAATCTGTTCACAATTGTGAAGGTTACACCCCATTCACAATCACAAAGATTGTTAATTCCATAGTGGTCCGAAAAAATGTTTGGATGTTCGGGGATGATGGTACGAAATTAACCTTAAAGAGGTCAAACTCGCCCTAAATAGGCCTCTACTTGATTCTTATTGATATTCATGCGCGCTTTTCAAAACATACACACATCAAATTAGCCCTAAATAAACCTGTTTAATGTACGTTGGTTGATTATTAATATAATGCACAATCTAATCTAACATTGGTGATCACTTGAATAAAATCATATAGAACCTAAATCCAATTATTAAATATCTTATTAGGCGTGATTTCAATAACAAATTTCCATTAAACCTGCAAAAAGGGGCGTGATCAAGAAATAACTATAAATCATTGTTAATCAAGCAACATATGATTAACATAATAATCATCATAATAGAATCGCAATCATCATAAAAACATCGTTAGTAGTAAGATCCTAGGCATGATACTAAGCAGATTAATAACAATCCTAGCATGTCACTAGTTGATGATCTAAAACTAGGAAAACGACCTCTATTTATAAGGAAAAAAAGAGTCAAACAATCAGAAAAAGATCAGAAGTTCTAATTATGATAGAACTCTTTGTCGCATGGCGATAAGGCTTAACGCGTCGCAACAACCTTGCTGCGTCACGACGAAGTAAAAAATCAGAAATTATCCCAGAATTTCGTAGCACCGCGACACAACTGTTGTATGGCAATAGTGTTTGTCGCGTCACGATGAACCCATCGTTGTGAGATGGTTCTTAGGATAGAAACTGTTTGTAGGGAGTTTGTTTCCGGCGGTTTATCTTTGCAAAATATATCCGAACGTCTTCTAATAAATCAAGGATCACCATAAGATTTCTACTCGATCTCTAACTATTAATCTTTATATTTTTAGAAAGGATAGATTAAAAGCTTCTTGAAGATTCTAGAAATTCCTAACTGATTTAGGATTAGGAATTTGATCATATGGGGCCTAAATAAAAATATTTGGACTCCAAATAAACATTAGGTCGTACTAAAGGTGGACTAAGGCTCGGTTTGGGCTCGGTTTAGTATTTAGGCCATATTTCATTCGTTTTAAGTCGAATTTGGGCTTATAATATATCATTGGAAAGATTTTTTCAAGCCTCATCCAACTAAATAATAATTGGACTGGGAACATGGAACATACATAATCAGATTGGGCGTTTTTATAATTTGGGCACGAAATAAATATTTTAAGGACACGAAATGATTGTTTTGGAATTTAAAGAAACGGAATAAATGTTTTTGAATTTAAACACTTTGGGTAAGGTTAAAAGTATGGTCAAGGTTTAAAGAAACTTTGCGCGACCCTTCAACTTTTTCCCGAACTCGTCAATCAAAACGTGAAAGGTAATGATCACTGGGTTTGGTGTTTGGGGAGACACAATAAGGTGTCTACAAGTTGATTATTGCATAAATTTATGAAGTATTACTGCAGACTTTCTGTCTTATTTTATGTGTCTTCAAAGCTCGTTTAGAACCCCTATTTATAGGGAATGGTTAAGATTAGGGTCTCAGACATTCTGTCGCAGCAGGGGGCGCGCACAACTCTTGAAGTTGCACGTGGCTTCCGCGCGCAGGTGGAGGAGTTGCACTTCACTAGGTAGCGTGACTTATGTTCTTGCGCGTGGCTGTATGGTAAGATTCAATTCAATATCTTTCAAAAATTCTGAATCTTCGTGAGCGCAAGTTGCGCTGGGCTGCTGCGTGCAACCCTGTAAGTTGCACGCGACTTCAAGCGTGACTTATTGAGTTGCGCGCGGATTTTCCTGCGGCTGCTTTAGATTTTAAGCTAGGAACCCAAAATTCGTTCGAAATTAGGTTTAACTCATGGATTAAGCCTAACTTCTGATCGGGCTTAGTCTTATTGAGTTTTGATTCATTTTTTTTGGGTTAGGCTAGTTTATTTTGTATATTTAGGCTTCAATCAGTAGTCCATTGACATTTCTTATTTCAATCCAGCACAAAGATGGAATTATTTATCGTCATAGCACTTCCGGTCGGGACAGGGGACCAAAAGTAGATGTTTACGCTTTCAAAACATTTGCTTGATTGATATTTTGGGGGCAATTATTCTTAGCAAAGTTTACATTGCTTTCGTGGAAAAGGCGGAAGAAGATGTGAGGGTGCTCTTATCAATGGTGGGGACGTGGTATTAACCTGCGTGACCACAAAGGGTAATGGCAGTCAACAGCGACTGGAAATATAGCACATTCTAATAGCCTTGAAGGAAGCACGAAGAAGGGGTTTATACCACATCAAAATAAGGGGGTGGAGCAAGGAGCTTGGAACGACATTACAGGGGGAGGGTGTGGATAAGTTTAGCAAGATCATTTTTAAGAAGCTATAGGCCCCTATGACTAATTTTCATTGTATTAGTTATAGTTTCGAGTCGGTTGGGGGTTGATCCTCTTTTTCCACTTTGTCATAAAAAAAAAAAAAAAAAAAAACTTCTTCCATTTTTTTAATACTTGCAACACTTCAATTCCTTAAAATGGAAATGTCACAATACTTACAACACACTACAATATAATTGAAATGTTATTTTGAGGAAAGTTGTACTATTTTCCTTATTTAAAGTACATAGCCCACTAAATTATACGAAGTACTTCTAACAACCTCTCACCCCATTTTAAAGTATATTTCCTTCGTTCTATTAATATTGCAACAAGAATGAAATTACGCATCTCAAAGCACATTTTATATATTAAATATGTATAATTCTATAGGAGTTAAAATTATAAAAAGTTGATATTATGTAAGTATTTTACGATACGAATCTAACAAGATTCCACATGAATATATTTTACTTAATACATAAATCATAATATGTGGTCAAATAAGCATGATAAATAATGCAAAAATTCAATTGTTGTAATATTACTAAAACGGATAAAGCATTTTGTATTAAAAATCGTGAAAAGTGGGGTATGTGAGGAAAGTTGTACTATTTTGATGTGAACCCGACTTTAATTTTACATGAACCCCACTTTTCTTTTTCTTTAATTTTACATACAACCGTGAAAAAAAGTGTGTTACTAGGGATGTGCACTTTAATATTTTTATAATTAATGCTCCGTACGACTTGTATATATACACTACGTACGTACGTATGTAGTTCGTACTACTAAACATCAGAATGGAAAGGTATTATAGGACTAAACAATAGCATTTAATTCCATTCATTTCATCCACTCATTTCTCTTATCCTCAAAAATTCAACATCTCTATCAGACTCTCACTCTCTAAAACATGGAGGGAGGAAGCGAATATTGGTCGTCGTCGTCGTCACCATCATTAAACATGATCCCAAAAATCAAAACGCCGCCGTATCTTCCACCATCAATGCTAGAAAAACGGGTAAACTGGGACGTATTCTTAAGTTTTAGAGGCGAAGACACGCGTCACAACTTCACAACATTTCTACGTGACGCCCTCGAAATCAAGGGCTTAAGACCCTTCATGGATGACAAAGGCATGGAGAAAGGTGACGCAATACAGCCTACCCTAGACGAAGCAATAGTGGACTCCGCTCTTGCGGTGGCCATTATATCTCCTAGGTACGCTGACTCACGGTGGTGTCTCGACGAGCTGTCGAGACTTTTCGAGTGTCGAAAACGGGTCATACCCGTTTTCTACGGAGTCGACCCGTCTGATGTTCGGAGGCAGCGAGGGGAGCTTGGTATGGGGTTTCAGAAACTTACAACTGATGATGCGAAGAAGTTTAGTGAAGCTGAGATTCAGAAGTGGAGAAGTGCTTTGGAGGAAGCCGGTAAAATTGCTGGTTATCCATGCTATTCTCAAAGGTAATTAATTAATTAATTAAAACTAATTAATTCGGTTTGAATTTGAATTTGAGTTGATTCATGTTCATGTCGTGTTTGGAAATACCAAACACATTAATTAACTTGAGTGGGGAGCACATCAATATTGTCGTCTTTCGTCACTTGTTTATCATTCCAAAGTTGCATATATCGATTACTCTATAATGTCATATGTACGGAATGTATCTAGCTAAGATTTGAACTTAGAGGGTGTTTAGTTCATTATATTGAAATGGATTGATATGGAATATTATACTAGAGAGGTATGGATTCTAAAACCCATACTAGTTTAAAGTTGTTTGGTTTTAATGTTGAAATGAATTATTTACTTTATTAATAGAATGAATTGTGAATCTTAGAGAGAAGGGTGGGTATAAAATTACATAGATATAGGGTAGAATTAGAACTCATTGGATATGAGATTCTATACTAAAAAGTTCAACCAAAAACAAAATTGATAGAATGGATTCTAACTTCATTCCGACCCCTTATTGACTCCTTAAACTTTATCCATTAGGAATTCTCTATGCATAATCATCATATTAATGATTACTCTTATTTATAACTAGTTGGATTAATCAATACAATCTCATGAATCTTATACCAATATCGATCTTATATCAATTTCTATCTTGTCAAAAAAAAAAAAAAACAAAAACAATTTCTATATGTTACAAGGTTTTCTGAATTCTCTACCTTAATTAAAATCGTCTAAAATACAGTAACGAGTTAACAATTTTGGTATAATTTCAATTAGTTTACTGTTAAATTTACATTTATTTTATTTTTTTGAATAAATTTACATTTAATGTGTTTTACTGTCAACTAATTATTGAGTCATTTTTATTTTTTTTTTCTCACAGAAGATGCTCAAACACATATGACTTGTGATTGTTGTGAATTTGTGAGCTTGTGACTAATTATTGCGTAATTATTGAGTCTTTTCATAGCAGTAATAGTCTTTAGATGTGACTTGTGACATGACTAGACCTGGCAAATGGGTCGTTCCTGGGTCAATTTCGGGTCACCAAATATTAGGGTCGGGTTCGGGTTGGGTCGGGTCAAGTTCGGGTCAGGTCAGTTCGGGTTGAGTCAATTTTTAGGACCAATTTTCGGATCAATTTCTGATCGGGTCAATTCGGGTCAGGTTACCAAAATAAATTCACTTAAAAAAATAGTTAGAAAAATAAAGTAAAATCGTTAAAAAAAATCGTGAGTTCCTATTACTTAGAAAAGAAAGAAACCGTAAAATAAATAATTCACCATTTCACCCTATTCACTTCAGGAATCGGGTCACTTCAGGTCAGGTCACTTTGGGTTGGGTGTATTCGGGTAAATCAATTCCGGTTTAAATCGGGTTGGGTCACTTCAAGTTTCGGGTCACTTCGGGTTGGGTCAAGTTCGGGTTTTGGGTCAATTTTGGGTTGGGTCATTCAGGTCATGTCATTTCAATAGGCATCTGGTCATGTTCGAGTCAACTCCATTTCGGGTTTGGTTCGGGTTCGAATCGGGTTAGTTCGGGTTCGGGTCATTTTCAGGTCAATGATTCGGGTCAACTTTCGAGTCACGGGTCGAATCATTCGGGTCGGGTCATTCAGATCAGGTCAAGATTGCTTGGTCTAGACATGACTTCTATAGTGCCAAATGAAAACTTGGTCCATACTCCGTATCTCTTTTTAACTTGAGCATCTTGAATTATTCCATTATTTGAAAAATAAATTAAAAGTCTAAGTAAGTAAATTCTTTCTCCGTTTCTAGTTTTTTGCCCTATTATTAAAAGAAGAAGAAGAAGAAGAAGAAGAAGAAGAAAAAGAAGAAAGGAAAAAAAAAAAATCGAACTTTAAAATCTTTGATTATAAATTTCGCTTAATATATGAGAGATAATATGGTCATGTGAAATTTGTTGGATTCATCTAATTCATTATATATTTTAGGAAAATTCTCTTTGACAATACTGTGTTTTTCAATTTTCTCTTTGGTAATGTTAAAAAACTTATCATCTTTAATAAATTTGAAGTATTAATTACCAAAGATAATAACTATTTTAATTTAAACTCATTAACATGGTTAGTTTTTTAATAATTAAATTATTTAAAAATAAAAACCAAACCCACCCACCGCTGCCCCGGCCCCCCTCCCCTCGACAGGCGTCACCTCCTCTCGTTGCCAGCACCCAAACTCTTTCCCCGACGCTGGCGACCATCCTACCCCTCTTTCCCTCCCTTGAAAACCCTAGAAACCCCCCCCCCAACAACCCCGAAATCCCCAGCCGACCATCCCCCACCCTCGAAAACCCTAGTTGGCCCTCCCCCCACCCTCGAAACCTTACGAGGGTGGGGGGAGGGCCAACTAGGGTTTTCGAGGGTGGGGGGATGGGCAGCTAGAGGATTTCGGGGATGGCATTGGGTTTTTGTGGGGAGGAAGGTGGGTTTCGAGGAAAGGGGAGAGGCGCGGCGGTCAGGGGGGTTTAGGCGCCGGTGTAGGTTGGGGCGGGGAAGTGGTGGTAGGCTGGTGGGGGGAGGGAGGCGACTTTTTTACAAAAAAAAAAAGAAAAAAAACTATAGTTAAATATTTAATTTAAATTTATCATTAATGTCATAGTTAGCTTTATATAAAAAATTCATGATTACTAATAATAATAAGGTTTTTTTTTTTTTTCGCAATACAGTGTTACCAAATTAAAGTGGATTTTCATATATTTTTATTAATATCTAAATGTTTACAATTTTTACGCTTATGAAAATGGAGATACTCCCTCCATATTTTATTACTTGCTCCATTTCTGCATGTGCGGAGTTTTAGGTGGAATAGTAAAAAATAATAAAATATGATAGAAGTGCGGTTGGTTGAAGAATAAAAATTTCTCAAAAAACAAAAGTGAGTATAAGTGGGGATGTGAGAGAATATGAAAAATATTGAAATATGATATGATGGGACCACTAGTGAGAAGGGAAATAGGAAAATAGTTGATTAGTGGTCGTGCGATGCACGATAGTAATAATTTTTTTCCCATAATTAATTAATTTGTGATATAATATAAAAATGAGGCAACTCATGTGGAATAAAAATATGCAATATATATAAGAAATATGCAATGCATATAAGAAAGATGAAATAATAGGCAAAAATTATTAAAACTACAATTGAGAAAAAAAATATATATTATTGTTGGTTAGTTGTGTTAAAAATGTTTTTAAAATAGTATACATTTTATTACATTAATAATGATGGATGGTATTCCTAATAAAACTATACAATGTAGATGACGTATGACTTATTTATTAATGAATTAATTCACAAAAAAAAAAAAAAAAAAAAACCTAAAACCTGACATCCTATATGTGGCTGGCCACACCGTGTGGACAAGGTTACTTATTCAGGGGTTACTTATTTAGGAGTTACTCGATCGGTCAGGGGTTACTCTCGCACAAAAAACGCACTAACCGACTGAGTAAACTTAGAATAAGTAACCCCTAAATAAGAAATTCCGGAATAAGTAACCCCGACAAAAAATGCATTAGCCAACTGAGTAACCCCAAAATAAGTAATCTTTGACCGAATGAATAACCTCTTAGCAGGTAATCCCTATAAGTAACCCCGACCACACGGTGTGACCATCCACAAAGAAAAAGCGTCATATATTGTATTGGCAGAAAACTTTTTAATGATAGCATGAAATATGTCCAAAATGATCGATGTAAGCATGACCTGTGTTATTAATAGTTAATAGATTTTTTGAAGGAAAAAAAAAAAGTTATAAGTTGGTAAAATTATTACAAAAATATTTAACAGACAACTAACTTAATTATTATTGTTTTATAAGATTTCAAATCAACACCATGAATAGAAATGGTTTTTTCCCCATTGAACCCCACTATTGTACAACTATATATATAATGATAATTTAAATGTTAATATTGTATTTTTGACTCCGTTATTTTATACTCTCCACCATATTTCATCATTCTAAATTATATCTTATTTTCCTTAAATAAAATGTCTCAAAATCTCGTGTAACTATTTTTTAAGTAAATAGCACACGAAATAAAAAGGAATACAATTATTATAAATTAAAGATAATATATAAGATTATGAATAATATTATTATATTTGTATTATACAAATATTCTAAAAATAAAAGATTTTTGCTAAAAAGGGAGGGGAAAGTTTTGGAGGAAAAAAAGAACTGACATGTGTCATTCCTGGTGTCTGTTTTAGTATTATGTTAGAATTGTTAAAAGTTTCCAAAAAAAAAAAATGGATCAAGGAATAAAATATGTCCGCAAAAGAAAAGTGGAGAAAATAATAAAATACGAAGGGAGTAATAAAAAGGTTTTAAAATGCATGTTGAAAACCGCAAAAAGCCAAATGAGGCAAGATATTAAGGACGGAGGGAATAGTAAGGAGTACATTACCAGATTCCAAAAAAAGTACTTCCTCCGTTTTATATTAAATGCAACACTAAGGTGTTCCCAAAGTTTAATTAAGAAAATTTGTAGGGTGAGGCCCAAAAGAGGATTTTTATAATTGGTAAGAAAGAGAACTAATAAAAAAAAAGAATAATATAAGTGGGGTTGGTAGGAAAGAGAATTAATAAAATATTTGTGAAAGTGAGGTTAGTGGAAGAGAGAAATTATAAAATAATGGTAGCTCCTTACCAAAAATAGTAGTCTTATAAGTATTATGAACCGGTTAAAAATGAAAAGTATTGTATTTAATATGATGGCAAGGGGTAAAAATCAATAAAAGACAAATGTGAAATGTTAACATCATGGCGTTTAAGCAAAAATTAAAATAAAAATGAAATTAGTCTCTTTTTGTCATCCATTTTGGACCAAAATCTGAAGATTACTTTTGACTCTTAGGAAAGCTGAGATGTGTCAACTCTAATCGCTTAATAAGTGTTGTGTACAACGGGTGTATATTAATTTTATTATAAAATGGTTAGTTTGAGTGTAAATATAATTATTTTTATGGTAACTTTAACCACTTAAATGGTAATTTTTAATTTGGTGTTGTTTTGAATTTTATTTTAATGTATAATTTTTTATAGATACGTGATTACATACTATAAAGACTAATATAGATTAATGTAATGCATTATAAGTTTTTTTTAAGATAAAATTTATTAATAGGAAAATAATAATAACTTTTGCACTATAAAGAGTTACTTTAAGTATTATTAACATAATTTTAATCCATTTTACAATAAATTAATGTACACCCATCTTTTTGAAAAATTTGTGTTTTTAGTTTCTCAAAGTAAACCCTTTTGACAGATAATAACTTCAATTACTATGTATAAATAATTTTCGGAAAATATATTACTAGGAATAATGATGTCTGACAAGTCCCCACTAACCTATTGTGGCTAATTTATAAAAATTGAAAAATCTTCATTCTCATTTATGAATACCCAAATTCACAAATATGGCACTAATTTACAAAGAAGCCGCTTAGAGAAGAAGAGAGAGCAAAGACCAATTTTGCAATAAACACAATCTATATTATGAAAGATAATACTTCTTATTTTCCATTTTATGATGAAAAACTGTGATTGGGTGAGCTTGAAGAAGAAGATTATTCATAAAGGTGTGAGAGGAGAAGACAGTACAATTGGTTTTTTTAATCTGGTTGAATTTGGAAGATTTTTTTTTTCGAAACGCTACCCCAATAATTGAAACATTATGATCAATAACGTTTGACAAAAGCTTCTTCCAACGCTAAACGCTACAGCAACCGGCATCACCAAACACTAACAGCTACTTTAAAAGCTACGCCGAACACGCCCTAAGACTGCAAAACACCTTGATGAACGGGTATAATTGTGCCCCTCGTTAATGATCATCCTAGCCATTTCTTTCGTCTTTCAAGTGTTTGATTTTAGGCATCCATAAGTTAAACTTTCCATGATACTATACTTGCTTAACTATAATGATACTTTTCCTGTTTTCATCTGAAATATTTTGAATGGTCTTTTTTGTTTAGCATTTTATTATTGTTGGATGATGATCAACGCCTATATTTTGAGATTTTGTCATACCTTTACCTCTAATAATATATGGTCATCTAATTTTGAATTTTCCCATATAGTGGAAATTGTAACCAAGAATATAAAATAAAAATAGATTTTTCATTTGGTATCATTATATTTTGAGCTTCTCTGTTTGGTATCTAATTTCTTATTGGATTAAGGCTCTAAAGGGAAGTTTAAGCCCTTAAGGTTCAAATTTGAAATAAAAATACCTTAGTTTATTTACAAAAAAAATATACTCCCTTCATCCCTTAATTAGATGCCTACTTCTCTTTATTATGTGAGTAATAAATGCTAAAAATAGGCATCTAATAAAGGAACGGAGGGAGTATTGATTTGCATATTTTGATTTATTTTGCGCAAAAAAATATTCCGTTAAAGTTTTGGGGTCATTATGACATTAAATGATCAAACTTTGAAGTGAACATTAGAAAAAAAAAATAAAAAAAAAATAAAAAAACCACAAATGTCCTAAACTACTACTCCCTCCGTCCCTTTATTTTTTGCTCCATTTTCATTTTTTGGGTCAAACTTTGAAAAATTTGACCATCAATTACCGTTAAAACTATAAAAGATAATATAGTTATGAGTGGTGTTGTTAGATTTATCTCATTGTATATTTATTAATATCACGTTTTTATAATTTTTACGTGTATAAAAATAAAGATATAGACGTTTTAAGACGCGTTTTAGAGACCGTGCACAGTCAAATAGGGCAAAAAAATAGGGACAGCGGGAGTAATTTATTTAACAGAATGTTAATTTAGAGTTTAAGTCAAAATTACAATGACACCACGTGTAATAACAATAAAAATTGAATATCAAATAAAAAGGTCAAAGTACAATGGTGTCAAATGAAAAATCCCAAACAAAAACAATGGCCCCCTTATCCTTTTTTTTCTCTTTTAATTGGCATTTTGAAAAGTCTCAATTTGTCATGTTATTTACAGAAATAATCTTTTGTAAGAATTTTGCTCTATGACCAAATAACCAAAGTATCATTACCCTTGGTGGCTCTCTATAACGTTCCTACTAACAAAACTTAATTTCAAATACAATGACAGTGATGAAACTGAAGATGTTATACAACGTATAGTTCTACAAGTCTGGTGTGAGTTAAAGAACACTCCAGAGTATGTGGTGAAATTTCCAGTTGGGTTGGATTCTCGAGTTGATAAAGTGATTGAAACGTTAGATCTTCACTCGCTGGGTGTTCGGTTTTTGGGAATCCATGGAACGCCAGGAATAGGCAAAACAACATTGGCTAAGGCTGTCTTCAATAAACTCGTCATAAAGTTTAAGCATCGCTGCTATATTTCCAATGTCAGAGAACAGCTATGTACTAAAGAGGGTGTAATGGGTGTTCAAGGCAAACTCATTAGTGATCTTTCCTTGAAAACAATGTTATCTGTGAAAGAAGACGATGTTGTGAATAGACAAAAAATCAAGATGATAGTTAATGAGAACCGAGTCCTAGTTGTGTTGGATGATGTCTCTGAAGCAGGCCAGCTTGAAAAACTTGGCATTGTAAGAGAATGGTTTGAAGACGGGAGCAGGATAATCGTTACAAGTAGAAATCTGAACGCGCTACACGATTTTGCTCGTAATGATCATGAGCTATATGAAGCAGAGAAGCTTGATCCAGGGGAATCACTTGAACTTTTTAGCATACATGCTTTAGGAAGAATGGATCCTACACAAGAGTTACGGGATGTTTCAGAGAGGATTGTTTCTCTAACGGGTGGACTTCCTTTGGCGTTAGAGGTGTTTGGTTCTTCCTTGGTTAAGAAGACAAAAAAGGAGTGGGAGGATGCTTTAATGAAATTAAAAACATTTCGACCATCTAATCTTCAACAGGTGTTGAAATTCAGCTATGATGGGCTAGATGACCAAGAGAAAATCGTATTTCTTGACCTTTCGTGTTTATTAATTCAAATGAACCTAAAACGAGAGGATGTTGTAGACATTTTAGAAGGTTGTGGCTTAAGGGCCGAGTTAGCTATAGGTAGCCTTGTCACAAAATCACTCCTGAAGATAAAAAAAGACAGCTATAAGGAGCTGTGGATGCATGATCAAATTCGGGACATGGGAAGGCAAATAGTCATAGAGGAAAGCTTTCAAGATACTGGAAAGCGTAGCAGACTGTGGGACTATGAGGACATAATGCATGTCTTGCGCCATGAAAATGTGTATTCCCTCTTTTTTATATTGACATTGAGTAATAGTTTAACAAAATGCAGAATAAATTGTGCATCAGATTAGTTGTTTAGTTTTTTTTCAATAAAATGAAGATTTCAAATATTTCAATGATACTGAATACTGAGTTTCACTCTTGATCATGGTGTTTCAGGGACATATATACTTAAATTTGTGCAATGTGATGTATCACAGGTAACAGATGCAGTACAAGGAATTGCTCTGGACATAGAAAAGCCTCCTCTAGACTCCCCTGATGCAAAGAGTTATTGGAACAACTTCAAAAGGAATCCCAACATCAGTACTTTTATCAGGTACGTGAAAGAAAAATTCAAGGGACTACTTTCACAGCATGTTCCAGATGAGGATCTAAAACCTGCTCTTCAGACAATTTGGTTTAAGAAGATGGTACATCTGAAACTGCTTCAAATCAATTATGCAAACTTGCAAGGAAACTTCAAATATATGTCCTCCGAGCTAAGGTGGCTGCAATGGAAAGGATGCCCTCAAAAGACTTTTCCTGCTACTATGCCAGAGCAAATTCGTGTGCTTGATCTTTCGGAAAGCAGAATAGAATATTTGTGGTACTCAGATCAGGTATGTTGGTGTTTCAATTTCAACAAGGTAAATGTCACACTGAAATGTTCACTGCTGACATACAATAAGCGCCTCCTAATTATAACTCATAGTAGACTACCTCACCTTATGTTTGGAGCTCTCTCCCTTACAATAAAATCTTTATTCTGTTATAAATTTAGAAACTTCTTGGCTTGGCTTGCAGGTGGTTGGAAACTTGGTGGTGATAAATCTCTATGGTTGCCCTTGCCTTACAGCTCTTCCTGACATGTCTGGACATCGACATTTGAAAAAGCTTACACTTGAGCTTTGTATGGGACTGACTAAAATTCATAAGTCAATCGGAAACATGAGCTCTCTTGTTCACTTGAATCTAAGAAGATGCTCAAATTTGGTTGATTTTCCAAGAGATGTGACGGGGATGAAAGGTCTCAGGGAGCTGCTCCTATCTGAATGCAGAAAGTTCACAGGACTTCCCCATGATGTTCGTAGCATGACATCGTTGATCCAACTACATCTCGATAAAACAGCAATTTCTGAGCTGCCTGAATATTTATTTCACCTTACGCAGCTTGAAGAGCTTAGTCTACAAAGTTGCTACCAATTAACAAGGCTGCCTGAAGAGATAGGGTCTCTTATTTCTCTGAAAAAGTTATCACTTTCTCGTACTAATCTAAAAGAGTTACCTGTATTGATTGGATCCATGGCAAGCCTTGAGGAATTAAGTTTGGTTTCCTGTTCCTTGCTTACAGCCCTTCCTGAATCAGTGGGAAGGCTCAAATCTTTGACTGCGTTGCACCTTAATTCTACTTCAATCCAGGAACTTCCTTCATCCATTTGTGCACTATCCTGTCTGAAAGTCTTATCACTTGAAAGCTGTCATTCTCTTGTCAAGCTGCCTGATTCAGTAGCAGGATTAGCTTCTATTGTCGATCTCAAGCTAACTAATACACCGATTAAATCACTGCCAGATGATATTTGTTGCTTAAAATTTATTGAGAAGCTTCAGATGACTGGTTGTAGTTTCCTTGAAAAACTACCAGAATCAATCGGGAAAATGTCAAATCTTACCATGCTCACTGTTGCAGGCGCCAATCTAACACATCTGCCAGAGTCCATAGGGGAGTTGGAGAATCTAACATGGTTAAACTTGAATAATTGTCAAAACTTATGCAGCCTACCTGAGTCTATCGGATCATTGGGGTCCTTGTGCATATTTATGATGGAGGAAACTGCTGTGACATGTTTTCCGGAAAGCTTTGGGCTGCTTGGTGACTTAAGGGTATTAAAAATGAAGAAGTCTTCCAATAAACTCGCAAGGCTTAGTGGACTTCCTGTTTCTTTCTGCAAGCTTTCCAATTTGGAAGAATTTGATGCTCGGACTTGTGGAATTTGTGGTCAGATAGGTAATGATTTTAACAAGTTATCCAAGCTGGAGATTTTGAATCTTGGATACAATGATTTTCACAGCCTTCCTGTGACACTGGAGGGCCTTAGTGTTTTACAGAAGCTATTGCTGCGGCACTGTACAAAGCTGAGGTCCCTTCCTCAACTTCCATCAACTTTGGTAGAACTTAACGCGGCTGATTGTTATGAACTAATGAGTATAAGTGACCTCTCAAATCTTGAAAGATTACAAGAACTACAGCTTGTAAACTGCAACAAAGTTATCGATGTTCCAGGTCTTGAATGCTTGAAGTCTTTGAGAAGGTTGTTTATGGGGGGCTGTAACAAAGCAATTAAATCAGCTGTCCAGAGAAGACTACGCAAGGTATCAGTACCCTTTCTTTCTCAAGTTGCATAAAATTAGGCATTTTTCAATCAGATTGAATAGAGTTTCCAGTCATTTGTCACTAACAGTCATCTAAGACAACAACTGTGGATTCTGAATTGTTTAAGAAGTAAAGCGAGTTGCTACTAATGTATCATATTTTCTGCAGGCAACTTTGAGGAATTTGAACAATTTGAGTGTTCCGGGAAGTGAAATTCCCAACTGGTTTACTCAGACGACTGTCACTTTTGCAGCTCATCCAAACCTTGGAATAAAAAATGTGATTGTCGCTCTTGTAGTGTCTGTGGATCGCGGAGTATTAGATGAGATACGAGTTCATCAGTATCCTGGCATCACTGATATTCAGGCTTGTATTTTCAGACTCGGAGAACCCATTTTCCGTACTACACTATACTTAATGGGAGTTCCACGCACGCAAGAAGATCAGCTCTATCTGTGCAGATTCAAGGCATATAATCCCTTAGTTTCTTTGCTTCAGGAAGGAGATATAATCAGGGGAAGTTGGAGGAGAGGAACTGTCACCGGAATTGAGATGAAAAGGTGGGGAATTCATCTAGTTTTCGAAAATGACGATGATTTTGATGGTGATGAGGACTCGTTGTCAGTAGTCGAAAGCCATCAATCTGTATCCCAGAGGCTACTGAACTTTTTTCGCTCCATGGATCAATGATGACGAAAGTTATGCGGCTGTATCTGCAGCTGTAACTTTTAAATCATGGATGGTGGTAGAATGCAGAATGAGTATGTTTTCTGTATGACGCGAGCTTGAAAGGCTATACATGATTTTATTGAATTATATCAGATAATATTGTGATGAGACATGATTTAAAAGTAGGATTACGCTTCTCATTCTAGGCTCATCCAAAACGACCAACAGTACATCTAATTTGACGTGACTTTCATTGAAAGTTACTACTAATTAGTATAAATAACAACCTGCTTTTATAATTAGGCTGGTATAATGTTATCCTCCATAGTCTTCACAATCAACATTTTGCAGAACTACTTACAAACTGCTTAATAGTCCATAGATCATTTGAAAATTACCTATTAACTCGCTCATAACTTATTCCTAGATATAGTAATTACTAAACACTTGAGAAAAGCGAGTTTCAAACAGTCCTAAATCGCGAACAGAGGAAGAAAGAACTCAAGGGGTAGAAATTATGGCAATCTTAGTTTTCACCATCCCAAAGCTCCTGAATTGTGTATATAGGACCTAAAGGTGAAGTGTAATCCAGTCCATCACATGTCCTGCCTTGTGGGATACAACGAATCCTCTCATGGTAATCTGAGCTCAGTTCAAAGTCGAAAATTTCAAGGTTCTGTTTCATTCTGTCTTTATTGAAGCTCTTCACGACGACTGCAATGCCAAGCTCATATGCCCACCTCAGTGCAACCTACAAACAATAACTTTTTAGGGGACTTCATTGTAAAAAGGACCAAATAAGATGTTATAAGAGAGCCTAACTACTTCAATGTATGATGATTTGAAGAAAAGTACCTGAGCAACACTCTTTCCGTTAGCCTTTGCTATGTCTTTGAGGATTTCGGATCCCATTACTCCGTTGTGCCCGCCAAGGGGGGCACCCAATGGCGAGTATGCTGTTACTAAAATTCCTTTCAGAAATCTATTAGTTCCTTTTGTTGCCATGTAGGGTTAACTTCCACCTTTACATAAATTTTGACAGAAACATTGATAAATCTGCGTATTTGTGATAATGTAATATTTATTCAAAGAAAACACGAATTACATTACATTTATGAAGCAAGTAGGCCAGTAGCCTTGTAAGTTTTAACACAAATGCGAGCATTTATTTTGGGACAAAGGGAGTAATACATTATACAAAGTATAACATAGAGGACTCACCTGGTTGACTGAAGGAGGTATGGTTGCAGTTGCCATAAGCTGTTGAAGCTTCTTTTTTGTAAAATTGCTAACACCAATGGCTTTGGCGAGGCCAAGCCGTTGGCACTCTTCCATGGCAGTCCACACACCCTTGATGTCAAAAGGAAGGAACTCTTCCTTCTTAATGGGATAGGCTGGTGGTCCTGGCTTGGCGCTTACAGGCCAATGTATAAGGTATAGATCTAAGTAATCCAACTTCATATTCCTGTATAAAGGACATAAAAAAAAAAAAAAATGCAAGCTACCTTCATTTGTAGTAATAGTTACATTTGCTATTTCAAGATAAATTAAGTCTACGTTACATAGATGTTGTATTCCCTCCACTTCTAAATAATACTACTATGAACTACTCGTTTATAATATGCCACACATTTATTTTGGTTTTTACTACCCTTGGGAAAAACTACTCCAATCCGTCTCTTTTAACATAAATGTTTAATTTAATCTACGGGAAGATTATCACATAATTTCAACCTAATTCCTTGAAATGAACTTTAATTGAATGTGATATACGGAGTAATATTCAGGGACGGCAAATTTAATATATCATACAATAGTTGATACTAAAAAAAAAAGACAATTGTTTGAAGCATAAGGAACAACTTACTGTAGGCTAGTTTTGAGAGCATGAACAACAAGGTTAGGATGTCCATCACTAACCCACAACTTAGAAGTGATAAAGATGTCCTCCCTTGACTTAAACCATCCCACGTTTAAGCACCTCAGAAATACCCTCCCCTAGAGCCTTTTCAGTGAAATAGATGGTAGCCGTGTCAAAGTGCCGGTAGCCTACTTTCACCGCGTCTAACACGGCATCTTTTGTTACTTCATCGGGTACTGGAGGGTTCGGGGCCATGCCTAGACCCAAAACAGGTATTGACACTCCACCATGGCTTAGCTGAATTGTTGGAATTTTTGGTGAAATTGCCTCACTTGCCATGTTTTTTTTTTCTCTGCTTCTCCAAATTTCCCCTGTTTTTTTGGTTTGGTGTTGTAGCAAGAGTAGCTAGTAAGCTGAGTGTAGTCACTGTAGTGTCTTTATAATTGATGATCACAAGTTAGTGGGGTATTTGGGTACAAGTACGTTTTTTTGGGTTGTATTTTGTGGGAGCCAAGTGCCACGTTAATGTTGGAGTGAAATTGAAAGTGTTTTGTTAGATATGGTATGTAATTGTTGCTAACATGTGAGAGTAATAGAGGACACATGTAGCAATTCAATTTGGATTCGTGCATGTACAACTTTCAATTGATCAATTGATGCTGCCAATTTCTTAGTCATATGTTTGATCTTTTAGTCATGGTTCATTGAGTCTAGACCATAATCAACAGCTTATATGACTATTTAAAAGTAGATTAGGACGACATTTTGTATAATACCTTGTTTGCACTCACGTGAGTTGTCTTACATTAGAAAAAAAAAAAAAAAATTACTTTATAAGTCTGAAGAGTTACTTTTATAATCACAAATTGATTTCAGTATGAAATTTCTTCTAGACATACAAGTGACTAAATTTTTATTCTCTTTATTGAGTTGCCAAGCTCATTTTATATTGCGTGACATCTTTATCAGTATATTATAAGTTCATTATCAATGATCATTAGTTTTCATATTAGGGCCAACGAACAGTGTTCAAACTATATTAATAATGTCGATCTTGTCCTCTCGAGCCTTGTACAATTATGAAATAAACTAACAACTTATTGACACGATAAGTTACACATATAAATAGGAGCAAGATCATGACAATTATTAAATTTACAAGCACAGCATAACAATAATTGTAAGACATAACAATCACAAGCTTATTTATTAGCAAAGTTGGCTTAAAGATCTCCATCCCAAAGCTCCTCGAATGTGCGGTAAGGTCCAATGGGTGAAAGGTAATCCCATCCAGTCAATGTTCTACCTTGTGGGATTTTACCAATCTTCTCGTGGTCTTCTGAGCTCAATTCCCAGTCAAATATTTGAAGGTTTTCTATCATCCATTCCTTGATAAAACTGCTCACCACTATTGCTATCCCTTGCTCATATCCCCACCTCAATGCAATCTTAAGAAAACCAACCATGCATGCATTTAGGGCATAAACTCATTAGTAGCTGGTTTCTTGTCTTTTTCGTTATTGTTAATTGCTCGCTATATAGGTGTATATAAAGGTAGGTGCACCAAAGAGTAATATTTTTTTCATATGATGATATATTTTGCTGATTTGAAATTTAGAAATTAGCAAAAAACATTAGACGAAAAAAAAAAATGAAATACACTACTTAGCTCTAAGTACACCCAGTACATGTAAGAAGTGCTAACTGCACCCAGTACATGTAAGAATTCAGCAAATGTGACTTTGATTTCAACTTTTATTTTTATTTTTCAAAATTAACATACAATAATCAATATGATCTGATTGATTCACTATTCACTATGTGTTCAAAATTAATGTAATACAAAAAAATATATATAATGATCAAAGAAGTAACAAATTATAATATGAATGAATCACCTGTGCAACAGATTTTCCTTTGGCTTTTGCAATTTCTTGGAGAACATTGGACTCCATCACCAACTTGTGCTCCTCTAGAGGACCGCCCAATGGTGAGTGTGCCATCACCAAGATTCCATTGGTCTTGCAGAATTTTATGAGTTCCTTTTGTTGCCATTTAGGATTAACTTCGACCTTTTTCAAAATTTGCCACACATTTTTGTTATGCCTTTTCCTCTCCAATAGTCTCCATTTTCCGGAGGTTCAAGTAAAACAAACATGGTCAAGAGTACTAGTAACGACACAACATATTAAGAGTGATTATATGAAGCACCATTGTCTATTTTTAAAACATATGCACCAATTTTCCGAGTTTGAACTTTGACCATAAACTTAAATTATTATTACTGCATCGTGTATTGATACAATAATATAAGTACTAGTATATTAATAACAATATAATAGTACATATAGTGCATGACTACATAAGTTTTAATACAAATCTAACATTTTAACAATGTACGGAGTATAATATTGTGCGTGCCTATATACATTTTTCAAGAGAAAAATTTGGTCAAAAGTAGAAGTGGAGTGCAACATAATATATTATATATCTTGTGATCTGTTTATATTAAAAGAATAGAAGCTAGGTATACATATTAATTCCATTCTTTACTCAGAACTTCTCTTCTATAGGCATTTTATTTTCGATTCATTCTAAATTTATACGTTACATTTAATTAATATGGTCAAACTTTATATGTTGATTCGAATTTGTAAATTTATGCATTGTCAAAATGATTTTGTTTTCTATGTAGTGCATATATACTTGTGCATTGTACATTAATCTATGTATAGTTAATAGCTAGCAAGAATGTTGATTATAACTCACCTGGTTGCAGGGGCGGACCCACCTTTAGTCATAGTGGGTCCGGTGACACAGTATTTTTTTAAAAAATAAAATATCAAAGAGACCCCTTATTATAGATAGGTGGTCTCTTTGATGCTGCTATTGGTAACAACAAACAATATCAAAGAGACCTCTTATTAAGATAGGCGATCTCTTTAATGCTGCTATTGCTACAAAAGACTTGCTGTGGTTTTTTTAAATATTAAAGAGACCTGTTATTTATATAAGAGGTCTCTTTGATGCTGCTATTGCATTTCGCAATTTTTTTGCGCTACTTTCTTTTTTCATTAAAGAGACCAGTTATATTTAATAACTGGTCTCTTAAGTTATCTCACTTTTTTTTGTATAATTTTTTAATAATTTTTTTCCCTTTTTATATCTTATATTTGTACAACCAATTTTAATATTTCCCCATAAAGCTTATCAATTAACTAAAAAATTATAAAGTTAATTCAATATAATAATTTTATTGTACCATTTGTTTATAACATGTTATTTGTAGTATTTTCGACTTGTAAAATTGAATTCTTAAGTACTATATTTGGTTGTGGTATGAATTTTTGTGTCCTATTTTTGGATTGAAATCAATTTGGTGAAATATATATATATATATATATATATATATATATATATATATATATATATATATATATATATAATTTTTGGATTGAAATTAATTATGAACAAGACATGGAAAAAAAAAATTGTACTTTCACAAATGATTAATAATTGATGGTGACACACTATCTCGGAAATCCTGGATCCGCCACTGCCTGGTTGACAGCAGGTTGGATGGTGGCTATGGCTAGAAGCTGCTCGAGCTTTTTACGAGTGAAATTGCAAACGCCGATAGCCTTAGTGAGGCCTAGCCTTTGGCACTCTTCCATGGCCGTCCAAACACCCTTAAGGTCAAATGGTAGGAAATCTTCCTCCTTGAGGGGATACTTCGGTGGCTTTGGCTTTCCACTTACTGGCCAATGTATCATATACATGTCAAGGTATTCCAAATTCAAAGCCCTATAAATGTACCCAACAGTCACATCATCACACGCATGCTCTGTTTTCAATACTTCATTGCATGATTTTGTCATAAATTTTATAACTGATACGAAATATATACAAGTATATTTTTTGAGACATGAGTTTCTCAAAGGTTAGGTCTTGATTAATATATTAAATGCTTAAAAAAAAAGGTATGTAAAACGAATTACTTTAAATTAATATAACCTTTTTATATCATATATGTATATATATCAAGACAATAAAGGCTTCTTAACAAAGGTTTGTCATATACATCAAGACACTAAAGGCTTCCTAAAAAAGGTTTGGAAGCTAAGGTTTAGGCTCTTTATTTTATCCTCACATAAGCCTACTCACGAAAATTAAGCTCAAAGTGTTTATACAAGTTCATTGTCAATAAAGGATAATCAACTTTAATTCACAATTACAATAAGTACATTCTAATAAGCCGAGTTCGAAGCCAATACATTTATACAAGTCAATATTTTATGTCTAATATTTCTGGATTAGTTTATTCAAGTAAAATTCCGATAATTAAGAGCAACACATTTATACTAGTGTCAATTTCAATGGACCCACTATTTATGATAAATCTTATCCAAATTTCATTTCTAATTGAGATACTAATACATACTCTTAAAATAAAGTGCTCAATACGTACTTTGTATCGCATTCTAGATAGGTGATCCTACTTTTAATTCTATTAAACTTGAAAAGGGAAGCCAATGTAATCAAATTAGCTTTTCATTCTTAACATACTAAGGTACATACAACCATTATATTTATATCAACAATATTATATCATGCAATGTTTGAATTGAAGCAAGTTAGATCTAGTTTCTAATGTTGGTGATCATTTCTCATGATTATCATGCATGATTAATGTTAACTAATCTCACCAATTATGTAAAATAAAAAATTGATTATAAAATCGATTGATAATTATCTGATACCACCAAGTTATTCAAATGTGAATGCCATTGATTATAAAAAGTAGCACTAACAAAGTACGAAGCATATTTAATTTGGAATAACGAATATTATATAATGTGTAACATTGCTAAAAATGTACTTCGTATCATGCATGGAAGTATATATGCAAGAATTACGTACTGTAAACTCCTTTTGAGAGCAGGGACAACAAGATGAGGATGAACATCACTACACCACAACTTAGAAGTCGCAAAAATATCCTCTCTTGATTTAATAATCCCACGTTCAAGTGCCTCCGAGATAGCCTGACCAAGACCCTTCTCAGTCAAGTAGATGGGGGCCGTGTCAAAGTGCCGGTACCCGACTTCAATAGCTTTGAGGGCCGCTGCTTTCGACACCTCGTCCGGGACTCGTGGGTTCGGCCCCATGCCAAAACCCAAAATTGGCAATGACACTCCTCCATGGCTTAGTTGAACCATTGGTATACTTGGTGGACTTGCCACATCTCCCATTTTTCTTTATTTTCCCTTTTTTGATTGCTTGTTGAGTTCTTAGCAAATAGCAATATATGCTTAAATTAGTTTGTTAAATTTCAGTCCTTAGTTTTTGGAAAATTCTAGAGAGTTTTGGAGCTTTCTACAAGTGATAGAATTGGTGATAAAAAATAGTGTTGACCTTATAATCCAAAGGGTTCATTAGTTGAATTATTATTATTGTTATTGGGTCCATATATTATTATTATGAGAGTGACAATGACTAGTAAATTTGTGGTGGACGCATGATTGATTTGCCATGTGATATGTGTGAATGTGTAATCCATCTGTTTTAGGAGAATATATTTTGATTTTTGAGTACATTGTTTTATTATTGGCCATGAGGTATGGACTTTTCTAGCTTGCATTGTGAATTTTGTGATGGGAGTCTAATGGTGCAGAAATGGGCAGTACAATATTTGGATTGGATTGGATTTCATTAGAGATGGGTTGGCGCGCGGGTTAGGTGGGTCGTGAAGTTAGGCGGCCAATTTTAATCCTAAATTGGTTGGGATAATATTATCAGTGTTTAGCAATCTAATATCATATCATATTAAATCATATTATATATCACTAATAAATAAAGCCAGTCTCGCAGTCAAGTCACGAGACAGCGACACTTGACATTTTAGTTTTTCGTCAAGTGTCGCGCCACGTAGGAGATAAATACGTATTATTGTGACACATATGATGCTAAGTAAGCGATTTTTGAATAGATTTTTAAGATAAAATTGTTATATAAAATTTTATTATCGATAGAATTATAATATTTCATATATACTAAATTTATTCATAACTTTTAATAAATATCTTATAACTCAATTCTATTTCCATCAACAAATTCGTTTTAAAAAGTTCTTTAAAATAAGATCCATTTATAAACTTTTATACGTAGCTAGCCAAACTGTGTCACCAACTATTACAAGAGTTACTTCGTTAGTGCTATAGGAGTTACTTGGTTAGTGTTATAGTGGTTACTCAATCAGTGTTGTAGAAGGGGTTACTTAGTCAGTGTTAGAGGTTAGTTACTCAATTAGTATTACAGGCATTACTCGGTCAGTTTTATAGGGGTTACTTTTTCCGGCCAGATGGTGTGGCTAGCCGCATACAAATGCATTGTTATTTAATTTATTTAAAAATAATATTAGAGAATTAGTAAAAATAAGTTTTAATCAATAAAATTAATTTTAATTTGGTAAAAATACTTTCAGTTAAATGAAAATAATTTAAGTTCAATAAAAATAATTTTAAGTCATTAATAACATATAGATATCTATTTACAAACAAAACTAAAAAAAGTACACTATTATATAAATATAAGCCATATGATATCATATGTCTAAATATCCTACATTATCAAAACGAATTATTTGACCGTATTTAACATTCAAGTAAAAATGTTATCTTCAAATTTTATCAACCATTTGGAAATCGCCCGGGCACAAAACTGGTAACTAATAAATAAAGCTAAACTTTTAGCTGGGCACGAGACTACAACATTCGGCTTTACAACTTTTTGCCAAGTGTCACACCACCTAGGCAACAATTACTTTTATTTTAAGATAAAAAAAAGTTGAATAGAATTAGATAGATTTTATTCGATAAAAAAGTTAGTTTAGAATTATTTTCAATAAAATTTGGATAGATTTTTAGGATAAATATGTTTGTTTAGAGTTTTATTTTCGATAAAATAACAATATTTCATATGTACTAATTAAATTATAACTTTATTTATAAAAATATTAGTAAAAAAAATGAAATAGGCACGGCACTTTTCGCACCGGTTCTTGAAAACCTGTGCGAAAAGAAATGGGCGGGATTGGGAAAAAGACTTTTCGCACCGATTCCTAATAAACCGGTGCGAATTAAAAAAGAGAAAAAAAGGGAAGAAAGGGATTTCGCACCGGTTAAGACCAAACTGGTGCGAAATAGTGATTTAGCACCAGTTGAAACCGGTGCGAAGTTAAAAAAAAAAACGGGCTCTCGTATTTCTTCTTCTTCCTTTCTTTCCCCCTGCTTTTCCATCTTCTTTTTTCCTTCGTTCTCGCCTTCTCTTCCACCACCTCTGAATTCCCACCTTCTCCATTAAAGCCGTTTATGAGCTTTCTCACTCCATTGAAGCAGCTGCACCTCCTTCTCTCTCCATATCTCTCCTCCATTGAACTCTTGCTCTTTATTCTCCATTGAAGCAGATTCTGAGCTTTCTCACCTCCATTGAAGCAGCTTCGAGGTAAGATTTTTGTTGTGTTCTTAATCTACTAAATTCCTTCGCAATCTAGGGTTTGTCGTTGATTTGGTTTTCAATTTCGTAATTTTAGGGTTCTGGTAATCTAGGGCTTGTCATTGAAGCGCGCACGGCTCCACCTCCATCACAACGGCCTCCTTGTCACGACGGCACGACAGCAACCCCATTGAATTATTCGCGCTTCTTTAATTTATAATTAAGTGGATTGCTAAACATCGCCTACAAATTACAAACTAAAGCCCACAAATTTCCATTGAATTGACAATATTTCCCTTGACCCAAAAAAAAAGAAACACTCTCTCATCACCCAAAAAAAAAAATCTGTGCCACTTTCATTCTTCGTTTTTTTTTTTTAAAAAAAAATCAAAGTTCGGCAATGTCGAGACGGCAAGGCAAGGAATTAGCGGCAGCGGCGGCGGAGGGAAGGAGGTCTCACGGTGGAAAGGTAGGTTTTTTCAGTTTAAAAAAAAGTAAAATAAAAAATCGGCTGAGGCAAGGCGGGGCGCCTGGGGAGGACGCCACGACGGTGGTGGTGGCGCCAGAATCAGACGCCGAAACCACGGCCATGGCGTCTGGATCTGGCGCCGCCACCACCGGTGTAGCGTCCTAGCTAGGCGCCGCCACCACCAGAATGGCGTCCTAGCCAGGCGCCGCCACCACCGGTCTGGCGTCCTAGCCAAGCGCCGCCACCGATGGGCTGGCGTCCCAGCCATGCACCCTTTTTTTTGTTTTTTTTTTAAATCAGTTTTTTTTTATTTTTTTTTGAAAATCAGAATTTTTTTTTTGAAAATCGGAATTTTTTTTGGTTTATTGTTTTTTTATGGTTTTTTTTTTTAAATCAGTTTTTTTTTATTTTGTTTTTTTTTAAAATCATAATTTTTTAATATTTTTGTTTTTTGTTTTTTTAGTAATTTTTTTAGTATTTTTTTTTAAATTAAAATTTTGTTTGTGTTTTATGTTTTTTTAAGTTTTTTTTCAATTTTGTTGTATTTTTTTTACGTTTATACTTCCTTTACATTTCTTTGTATGTTTGTTTTGTACAATTTTTTTTTTAATATTTGTTATTGCAATTTGTTAGTATGTTTTTCTGTTTAGTTGATATATTTTTGTTTAGGTTATTTTTTTTTTCTTTTATGTTTATATAAATTTTGTATGTGTTGTTTTTTTTTCTTTGTTTGTGTATATTTTATTCTGTAATTTATTTTAAGTGTTCTGTTAATTTCTTTTTCAAGTTAGTTTGCTAGTTATTTTTCTTATAATTTTTTTAATGTGTATACATTTTTGGTAGTTTGCTAGATTTGGTTTTTGGTAGTTATTTTTCTTATAATTTTTTTAATGTGTATACATTTTTTAATTTTTTGAAGGTGTCGCATTTTTGTCATGGTGCGGGGAAGAATCTAGACCTTATTAGGTCTGGAAACTACTCGATGGAGAGCTCGGGGCCCAGACATCTTAGATCTCGTGGTATTTCGGCCTCGGCTCGTAAAGAATGGGTTCACCTTCGGGATGAGGATGAAGATGATGATGATGATGATGATGATGATGATGATGATGATGATGATGATGATGAGGAGGAGGAGGAGGAGGAGGACGCATATGAGGATGTGGGCGATTGGAGTGGACCATATGATGATTACGGTCCATTCAGTCAGAGGCTAGATGACATGTACGGGACGCATAGGGTAGATGTGCGTAAGGGTAGGGATGGTAGGTTTGTCAGTAGATCTGGCACATCATCTGCGTCCACCGTGTCTGGGGTAAGCAGAAAACGGTCGAGGGCCGTTTTTGATCTTTGGGTGGTTAAGGGTGCGGTGCCTGGGGGGCATGTAGACGGGAGTGTGATTCCTAGCTTTCTAGGACACATAGCTACCCGTATCTGGGAGGACCAGGAGAGGGGTTTGGTGACAGGCATTTTGAAATGCCAAACTCGGGAAAAGACTTGTAGCGTTTTGAGTAGATGGGCTGAGGCTTGGTCGGTGGAGAACGAGATGTTCGACCGACTCCAGGGCACTAGGGTGAATCACCTTCCTTCCACCATGCACGATAAGATTGATTGGACGCTGATCACGACTTTCGTTGAGCGATGGCAGCCGGATACGAACTCTTTCCACCTTCCATTCGGTGAGATGACGATCATGTTGCATGACATCGAGGCCATTCTTGGGATTTGCGCAGAGGGTAAACGGCTTTCTGTTGTGACTGATGCGGATCAGGCAGATTTGCTGGCGGAGCTGTTGGCGGTGGACAGGGCTGCGCTGTACACCGGGGCGCTTGGTGTTTGGGACCACGGCGGTGTGAAGATCGCATATGTCTTGCAGCGTTGTTTGCACCCCGGTGCACGTAGGATGCACGATGCACAACTAGCTGCTTATGTTTTTCTTTTCCTCAGGTGTACCTTGTTTCCGGATAAGAGCGGAAACAAGCTCAGGCCAGGCGACATAGTTGATGCGTGTGAGCCGGACAATGTTGGTCAGTTTTCTTGGGGGTCGGCTACGTTGGCGTATCTGTATCGCCAACTAGGATTTTCGAGTCGGGCTGACGCGGCAGGTATCACTAGATGTCTGACTTTATTGCAGACCTGGATATACAAGTATTTTCCTGCATTTCGACCACACCGTGACCCGGTTCCTATTGGTGATGGGATGCCCCGTGCCTGTGCGTGGAGTCCGCGGTTGGAGAAGAAGTCTGTTGACCGCCTCTGATCGATACGGTTATCGCTTGACAGGATGTCCCCCTTAGAGGTAAAGTGTATAAATTATTTCAAAATTTGTACTGTAATGCATTTATTATATGAATC